AAAACAGAGGTTTGTACCTGTTATTTGCTTATTATTTCTTGCCTATATCTTGTAATATGAGAAACTACTTTGGCAATAACAATACACAATGTACTAACTATTGTTACTCTCCTAAAATCTTGTTTTGAGATTTTGTACCACTGTTTTTTCTTTAAAATAAAAATAACTGTCAATAAATAAATATTAAAAAAATAAATATTCTTTTAGGAGCTGGTGAGGTAACTCAGCAGTCTAATGCTTAGGCAAGCTTAGGGACCATGGTTCAATCCTGGCACCACATGCTACACCAGCCCTGCCCCCAGGGCAAGCTGAGCCGGCCACAAAAAATATATTTTTATTCATGTCTGTTACTACTCTATTCATTAAAAAATTGACTTAGAAAAAAAAAATTGACTTAGAAAAGTTAACCTTAGGTGGTGGTTCACTAATTACACTAAAGCTTTGGTACAATACTGGGCATGTATAGGCATTAAGGTACATTGCTTAACTGAATTAAAGAGATCCCTTGGTATGTCAGGTGGTTGGTTTGGATATGCTATGAAAAACTTGAGTATGGGGAGGTAAAACAAATTTCCTGCCCTCTTGGGAAAAAAAAGATTTCATTAATGTTCCATGTAGTACCTTGCCTGTTATGGCTTTTAGACTTTTTTTTTGCAGAACCGGGGATTGAACTCAGACCCTTGCGCTTGCCAGGCAAGCGCTTATTCTGAGCCATCTCCCTGGCCACGGCTTTCTTTTCTAGGACATAACCATTTTCCAGAGGTTTTGGACTTGAGAACTAAGCTAGCCTGTATCATTTCCTTTAAGGAGTTAAGACTGATAAGCAGCTCTGGAATTGCTAGTAGTTGTCCTTATTTCTGGGCAGTAAGACTATGGTAGCTGCTCATATAGAAATAAGACTAATATCTGGAGCTGTTCAAGTCTCTGGTCTTGTTCTTGATATCCAGCTATAGATTTTTTTGTATTTGCTGGTGGCTTAAACCTCAGGATATGCCTTTGCTATACTTGTAATTGCTTTTTAATCCCCAAAGCAGCCTTAGTTGTCACTTGCTACCAAATAAGACCTAATATACTTGAGAAAAATGTAGACTTGTTTAAGATACAAATTTAGGACAAGGTGGTACATATCTGTGTCTCTGTCAATCAGGAGGATCACTATTAAGTTCAAGGCTAGTGAATCTAAGGCCAGCCTCAAATATATGGGAAGACCCTGTCTCAAAAATACAAAACGTAAGGGTCAGGGAGATGGCTCAGTAGAATAAGCGCTTCCCTGTCAAGTGCAAGGGCCTGAGTTCAATCCCTGGTTCCACAAAAAAACCCAAAAAACAAAAAACCACACACACAACAAAAAAAAGGAAAATGAAGTCTCAAACATTCAAAAATCACACCAATGGTACAAGTGTTTTATTGGCCTCATGTAAAGATTCTTCCATTACATCAACATGGATAATTTGTTTGTCTATAATAAACAAAATACATTCTCAAAGTTCTATAGGATTTAAGTAACTGGACAAAGACTTAGTTTGGAAAGACTACCTTTCAAAGACAGAAAATGTGTTCCATTTAGAAATAGGCTAATAGAACTATATTTCCATTAAAAAATAGAACTATTGTTTCACTCCATTTATTTTTAAGCTATCAAATTTTCTCATTTATACCAACTTTTCCATGTCTACTTAAAGTATGCTTTGGAGATGAGTTAAGAGTCTTTGCCTTCTTCAATCTGTTAAGGAACTCTAGAGAATGCTCAGAAATGTCTAGATAACCAGTATGTTTTCTACTGGGAACAAACTTCAGAGCCTCTTCCCAATTACCAGTGTTTTTCAGACATAACAAAATCCGCATCATTTGATCTAAGGTAAGATTTTTGTTACCAGTGTCCCACTGTAAGTATTTATCTAATGGAAGGCATTCTGTTGCCAGGTTTAACTGCTTTGCTCTAGCTAGAGAGGCACCTGGCTGCATCTTTTTATCAACAAAGGACCCAATCACATAAATTTTGTCATGTTTGTAAGTAGTCATAACATTGGGAGAATCTGCAGTTAAATATATAATACTGTCCTTTGGAAATACATCTACATAAGACTTTTCTGTTGTTGTTAAAAGCAGTTTGTTCCATCTTTCTCTGTAATGCCTAACTAACTGTCTGTGGTAAGCACCGTCTATTTTAAGGTTGCAGAAGTAAAGATGAAAAGGGTCAACATCTCTTCTGTTGCTTCCTTCACTTTCCAGAAGTTGGGAAATAGTATTTTGCAGCTCCTTTGGGTTCATGTAATTATCATAACTCATATCAAAAACCAAAGGCTGTCCAAACTGCATAGCCTGGGCACCCTTCCACCCCATTGCAATGTCCTTCTGCCTGTCCCAAAGTCGAAGAAATAGAAAGCTTTGCTCTTTATCTTCCTCAGTGGTTTCTAACAGCTTGGCCTTTTGTGCTTCTTCCCTTGCTGCTGCTTTTCTTTCCTTTTTGATTTGCTTAGCTTTCTTTAGATTTTCTTTAATAAACAAATATTTTAAGTATTTTTTTTTGGATGACTTAGAGGCACATTCCATGATGGTCTTGAGCTGTTCTTCAGTGATGTGTTCTGGTACACTTTTCCCAAGCAATCTCCACATCTCGATTAATTCTCTGTTGGCAGCTAGCGTGTCTTCATCCTTGCTGCTTGGGACTGTGGAAACATCTTCTTTTTGCATGCCAGATTTCATTGTAGTTTTCCACCCATCCAATTCTAGCTGTTCAGGAGGGGATGTACTTTCCCTAGTAGGATGAGACACAGCTGGTATTTTGGAAGACATGTATCTCTGCAGAATTGTTGAATATAAATTTCTCTTCTTAGGAAGGGTAAAAGGTACCAAACACATGGCAAAAGGTCTTAAAGTGACACTAATATTCATTTTGAAGAAAACAGACATGTAAAAACAACAGCAACAAAAAAACTCTGTAAAAGATAAATAAAATCAAGTTAGACTTTATTAAAAAAAACTTCAAAATATAAATTTAGCTAAATATAAATTTTACACCAAAATGCAATTGATTTGTGAAGCACATGGCTTATGGTCACTCCCTAGGCATTTAAAACTTATTTGAGGGCTGGGGAGACAGCTCATTAAGCCCCTGCCTGACGAGTGCAGGTTCCTGAGTTCAATCCCTGCTACCACAAAAATAAATAAATATATAAATAAATAAAGTAAAATAAAACAAAACAAAACTTTGGGC